GATAAGTTAGGACAACATTTATAGAGCAGAGAATGATGGTGGTTTGGGCATCAAGGATGTTCATTTGTTCAATAAAACTTTACTATACAAATGGTTATGGCGTTTCTTAATGGATACAAATGCTATTTGGGTGGGTATTTTATAGGAAAGATATGGCCAACTAAAGAGACAATTATGGTTCAACGAGGGATCCAAACATAAATCGAGAAAATCATTATCGTGAAGGGATATTATGGAAGGAAGGCGTTTGGATGGTAAAGATGTTTTTTTTGCAGATGTTGTCATCTAAATTAGAAGATGGAAACGATACCCCATTTTGGTTGGGTAGATGAGTGAGCAATAATACGATGGATATTCTTTTTTCTCTTCTCTTAAATGCTTGTTCGAACAAAGTGGCTAGTGTAAAGGAGATGGGAACTTGGTATAATCGTATCTGGTCCTAGAATTTGGGTGTTTTCCTTCCTGGAGAGCGTGAATTAGATCAATAGTGTTTAATGGAAAAACAAGAATTTCTGGCTATTCTGGACGAGATTGCACATGTTTTATCTATTCAAGATTCGTGGGTTTGGCCATTTGGGAATGAGAAGGTTTTTTATATGTCATCTTGTTACGAGAAGATTCTCAATAATATGGATAATGTGCTTACCAATAGTGATCTTAAAGAAGCTCTGGCAGTTTTGTGGCAATCGAAGGTGCCATCCAAGGTGAAGATATTTGGTTGGAGGTTATTCTTAGACAAATTGCAATTGGTGAAGCATGAAATCATTCATAACGACCAAGATAAGATTTGTGTTGTTTGTTCATTATATAACAAATATTCAAATCATCTGTTTAATGGTTGTTCAAAAATGAATGTGGTATGGGGTAAAATAAGTGAATGGATGAGGGTTGACTGGACTATGTTGGAGGAGGTCTGCAACCATTTTTTGAATATGGTGAATTCTTTTTCAAATCAGGTAGCAACATCCAGAGTTGGCGTAATCTGGTTAACAACCTGCTGGTGTATTTGGAATAATAGAAATGAAATAAGATTTCAAGAAGCCGATTGTGATGTGGAAAATATTGTGTTCAAAGTTCAAATGTAAACTTGGCTGTGGCTTACTTTATGAACAAAGGGAAGGATAAACTTCAATTTCTATGAGTGGACTAAAAATTCAATTGATTTTCTTAAACTGTTATAACTCTTCTTTGTTAAGTACACCTCTTTGATTTGTACTTTGACTGTTGTTTATTTGTATTTGGGTTGGGGTACTCCTAGTACCCCCTTTTGAATACATAAGTTGCTAATTAAAAAAAAAACAAAATAATAATATTGCCATAAATTATTGTATTTTTATTAAATTAATCTTATAAATGTGTTAGAAGTATTGTAAAGTGTAATAATTAAAAGACACAATTGAAAAAAAAATAATTTCTATATAAAAATGTGAGAATGTCATTTACTTTAAAAATTTTTTTACTACATACTAAAACAACGGAGAGAATATATATTCCATCCTAAGACTCCAATTATAGTATTCGTGAAAAACCAGTAGTATAATTTAGTTCTTCGTTCATGCCATCCTTTATCCATAGCAAACTACGACAAAATGATTTATTTCATTGCAAAACATGGTTCCAAAATGAAATTGAGAATTTCTCTTACATTTAGTAGTGGTAATTTTCACCACTCAAAACCCGCAAATACTCTTTTGAATATGTACATCCGAACACACCTTCCAACATGTTTCGGATGTGCATATCCGAAGACATCCTTTTTTAACATGTTTTAATACTTAAACGTTGGATGTAAAATTTTAGAGGTTGTTTCGAATATGCACATCCGAAACCACTGTACAAATGTTTCAGATATGCATATTCGAAACTTCCTCTGTTTGTGTCATTTTTGTTTAAAACTACATCAATACAGATACCTTATAAACAGACAAATTTTTGATGATTTTTTTCGAAAGTATGAAACAAACATAACAGTACGAACATAATGATTAGATTAGATGTTCAAACATAGAGGACTATAATTTAGTAAAGAAGTTGTTCGAAAAGTGCGTAATGTCAAAATATTACATCGGTAACAAAAAGCAATACATAACATAGGCTACTGCTACTGCGTATGCCTAATCCTGAACCCCTATGACCTCCTCTGCCTCCTATACTACGCCATACTGGATTCCTCCCTAACTATCCTCTCAACGATGACAACCGCCTCAGGACCGCCCATCTCGACAATCCCAACATCCAATACCTCCTACCCAAGTAGGTGAGTGCTCTAACAGATCGACAAAAGATCAATAGCATGGTCATCCTCGACCTGTTGGTTCTCCAAGACCATTTGGTGTCATGATATGGTGTGATACGTTAAAGAACCATGTCACGTAACCCTCTACATAATGCCAACTCAAGGATGCCAACATCATCTGATACTCCAGTGGCACCAAATGATTCTCTCAATCCTGGAAGTTGCCTTCGAGATCCCGCCAAACAATGATGTCAGGAGCAGCCTGAAAAGGAGATCTCAGTATCTTCTACACATAGCCAAACTACCGGATACACCATTTTGGAAGATACCTGACCATAAGATTTAATCCATATGCTAGTCACCCTGAGTATAATGAGATGAGATCGAATGAGAGAACATCCATATAATTCTCAAATGGCGTTCATTTGATGTCATCATGATTAGTACGATCAAGATACACCCGGTAAGACGATACTTTATGATTCCCTCTGTGGAGGACATACTTTACAACCCTCAGCATGTCGTCAGTATAAATCGCATCACGCTCGAAACCTTGAGTGCGGTGGAAGTGAGAGATTATCCAGCTCTGAAACAACAATTAGATAATATGTAAGTACAAATTATATAAAAAAATTAACTGTAATAGTTGAAATGAAAGGTATCGTGAGGAGTGTGCAAGAGCCAGTGAGTTGTATCGTCCTCTAGTTTGAAGCTTCATTCAACTTCTGATATAGGTATACCAAGATGGCAGCCTCCCAATTCCACTCACAAACTGTACTCAGATCCATAAAATACCAGAGGTATGTCACATCTACGTAGTAGGAACTTTTGTCCACAAAGAGGGACGTGCCAACCAAAAACATGAAGTAACACCGTAAAGCACAATCTCAGTGGTATTGGGCAAAAACCTCATCACCCTCATTCTTGGCCCCAATGCTGCAACCAAATGCTCCTCATATAGTATCTTCAGGTAGGAGAACTTTGCATGCGACCCATTTGTGATTCTGCAGTTCTCAGTTGCCCTATATGAATCAACTCCCAGATATTCAATCATCCATTCAACCGCCTCAACTCGTGGTACCTAGTGATGGATAAGTAACCTACCTCTGATAGATAGGTGGAGCAAGCAAGCAAAATCATCAAGTGTGATCGTCATCTCCCCAACAAGAAAGTGGAAATACGACGTCTCCTTTTGTCACCTCTCGACAAATGCACCCTGTATGTCGTAGCTTATAATATTGTAAGCAATACAACATAGTCTGACAAATTCGGATCCAACCACGGCCTCATGGAACCAAGCGACCACATGTATAAACAATTCAAATATTTTTCATGAGTCATTTACGGACTTAATTGGCAATGGTTCATGAAACAAAAAATAATAATAACTGTTAAATATTTATTTTTGAGTAAACCTTTAAAATGAAAAAATGGAACAAAAAAGATACCTCTCCATCCCAAACATGTCGGGCGGCATGATCATTATAGTAGATCAAGAGGGAGGTGTCATAAGGCCCTCCTAGATAGTCCTGATTCGCCTTCTCGAGTACCTCAACATGCTTAGGTACCTCATCGGGTACATGCTTATGAGCACAAGAGATAGACGCATGAGACAAACGACTCCTTGGTGTAGAAGAAGAAGAAGCTCCAGGAAATTCCTCTCTTCGTACCCGGCCCCGTCCTCGAGGCCCGTTAACCTGCTGCTCAACTCTCTGGCCGAGCAGAGGCAGTCTGGCTTGGCCTGCCTTGTCTCAAATGATTGGACGGGTCCTGGTTGTTAGCCATTTTATTGAAAAATAATTATAATTGTTAAAGTCAAGGTTTAAAAAAAAAAACTCAGGCAAGAATTCACATGTGCACTTCCGAAATTGATCCAGGGGGATTTCGAATGTGCATATGCGAAACCACATGGGAACAACCATTTTCAAAAAGCAGCTTTTTCTTGCCCTAAATCATCCAAATACCTTTTTTTGTCACCCAAACACCAACATTTAACTATTCTAACAACAATCTACACAATGTCATTTTTACTAACTAACCTAATACACTATTATAACATTGTATAGTGAAACAAATGAAAATGAAGAAAACTTACACAAACTTAGAGCCTTGAAGATGAGTTGAAATGACTCGAAAAGAGTTGAAATGGAGAGATGAGTGGAAATGACTGAGTTGTTCAACTTTGGATAATAGAAATATAAGGTTTTGAGTAGAAATGTAAAGTTTTTGAGTTTGAATAGAAATAAATATATTCTGTTCGTGGTTTTGAAAACAACAAGGTGACTTCAGATGTGTATTTCCGAAATTATAAATTCTATAATAAATTCAGAGATGCATATACAAAGTCACCATTTTTTTGACAAAATAAAATAACTTCCAATATACATATACGAAAACACTTATTATTGTCAAATATGATACATTTGAATATGCATATCCAAAATCTAAAAATATTTTAGAGTTTTCATAAGAAGTGTAGAAAAAAAGCACTAAATGTTAAGAGAATTCTCAATAAAATTTTAAATGTTCTAATTAAACATTATGACTACTATAATTAACACACAGTTCTTTTTTTGGTCCACCTTACATACACATAAAAATAAAATTGAGACAACAAATCAATACAATTATTTTTATAAAAAGTTTCTTAATCATTGTGATATTTTTTTGAATAATTAGGAATCCAATGAAATTTGAGGTTTCCCTCGACAAGTTCACTTTCCCCATATTTACATTGAAGAGTAAAATGAATACAACTTGAACCATGCTTGGCGCCACAAAACGCGTTCCTGCACTGATCCCTCGTTTTCTCCAACCCCTCCGTCAACTCCATGAAGAAATCGAACAGAATATACATTTTCACAAAAGCAAAGGCCAACACATCCTCACAAACCCTCGAATCCTCGACACAATCGTCAGAAAATCCGCAATAAACCCCACCGACACGGTCCTCGAGATCGGCCCCGGCACCGGAAACCTCACCCTCAAACTTCTAGAAGCTTCCCACAAAGTCATAGCCATCGAACTCGACCACCGCATGGTTCACATCCTCGAAAATCGTGCCACCAAACACAACTTCCGTAGCAAACTAAGGGTACGTTCCGTTCCGTTCCGTTCCCTTTCATTTTCATTGCATTTAACATGTTCGATGAAATGCTCAATCTAAAATGCATAAAACACGTGATCCAAGCCAACCAAACCACGTGACTTATTAATTTTTTTTTGTAGGTGATAACTAAAGATGCGTTGAGAACAGATTTTCCACCGTTCGATCTCGTGGTAGCGAACATTCCATACGGTATATCTTCACCACTTATAATAAAACTAATGTACGAAACGGCAGCGTTTCGGAGCGCGACTCTTCTACTTCAGAAAGAGTTTGCTCGAAGATTACTGGCTAATCCCGGTGACTCTGAGTTTAACCGGTTAGCCGTTAACGTTAAGCTTCTTGCTGACGTGGAGTTTGTTATGGACGTTAGCAAGAGAGATTTTTTCCCGCCCCCTAAAGTTGATTCCTCCGTCATTATAATTCGACCTAAAGTTAACGTTCCCGACGTCAATCTCCGTCAATGGAGGGCTTTCACTAGGACTTGTTTTAATAACAAGAATAAAACGCTTGGTGCTATGTTTAAGAGTAAGAGGAAAGTTTTGGAGCTGTTGGAGTTTAATAATATGGCTGGTTTGGTTAAGGAACAAGGTGATGTTTGTTTGTTTAAGGATAAGATAGTTGGTGTTCTTAGAGAGGGAGGGTTTGATGATAAAAGGCCGTCGAAATTATCGATTGAAGAGTTGTTGCATTTGCTTGGTTTGTTTAATGAAGTTGGAGTTTATTTTGATCACCATGGGGGAGTCATGAATGAAGATGATATTGATGATTAATAGCGACAATTGGGTGAGAGAACGAGAAAGAAATATAGACTGGTTAAGAATATTGATTAAGTTTGAAAAACTTAATGTATCACTTCATTGTATATGGCCACTTTAATTGTTAAAAGAACAGATCATCTAAAAATGTTGCGTTGATGAATAATATAGCAGGTATTTGTTTTGTTTCCTTCATTAACTGCTACAATGTTATGGTGACAATTCATGTTTGTTAGGAAGACTTATTTAACTTACTTTTCTCGGCAGTAAGGTGCGGTGCTGTTTGTGCTTAATTGTGAGTTGTGAGAATATTATATGCCAGATTCTGGTCTGATATTTGTTACTACTGAAAAATCAGATTGTTCTATTGAGTCAAGTTGGCAAGGAGTTTCAAACGATGGCTCTGTTTGGAAGCTGGGGCATACCATGAATTAATGTCGGTATGTGAATACTTGTTTGAATTGTTTGGATGCAACTTGTTTGTGTGAAACTTTGATAATGTTTTACTTTGACTGATAAGATGTTTGCTTTTTAATCAGGATACACTAGCTACTAGGATAGAAAATTTATTATCTGACCAAGCCAAAGTAACTTAATTCACCCCCTGCACCCCTTCTCGACCAAGCCATAGTCATACACCCAGCACCACCCAAAATTCATCTAAAGTTTGTCAGTAGCATATGCTCCCATAATTGTTCAATTCATGAATTACAAGTTGAGACTGCTAACAAAAACATGTAAGTGTGGAGTGGTGATAAAGTTTTCTATACATGATTTCCGTGATGGTGTAATCCAATCAAGAGTTAATGGGTTGAACTCTAATTGGGAGCTTCTTCTTCATCTTAACAGTTGGAAAATATACTATTTCATCGTTCTCAGCGACCCATCTGCATAGTATATACCAATCACATGTTAAAATCATTAAACATTGAGAGAAAAAACAGTGGGGCTATTATATTATTACCTGTATGTAGTAACAAGATGGTGAAAGAAAATAGAGAGCTCTAGCCTAGAAAGTTCTAACCCAGGGCATAGTCTATGTCCACCACCAAATGGGGCAAAGCGGATGTTACTAGCCAAAACTTCAATTTTCTGAAAACATAGAACATCATGTATATAATTGCTGCTGTACTTATGAGTTCCTTATATAAACATGAACATGACTAGATTATATAGCTCTATAAGACTAATTACCTCCCATCTCCATGGATCAAACTTAAAAGGGTTTTCATAGTTCTTTGAGTCCAAGTGAACAGTGATAAGACATGCCATAACACTCCAATCCTTTGGAATTAGGTACCCTGCATTCATATGCAGAAAAGATAAACTGCATTAGTTAGTATTTTATTTGTATGCATTAAGTATAACTACTACATCCTTGTGAATAACTAAACTACCTTTAATTTTTACGTTTTGGACTGCTTTCCTCCAAATTCCATTGACTATATTGGCCATTCTAAGTGTTTCACTGATGACCTTTTAGAAAGGAGATAGAAGAGAAATCAATGAACAGAATGATAATCATATGTTTTTGTTTAGGAACTTATGATTTTGTATATATAAGCTAACATTGGAGACTCACATTTTGAGTAAATGGTAGTGACATGTAGTCAGTCCATGTATAATCTTCTGAGTTATCAGTCTTCTGCTTCTTCAGTTCCATGTTCTCCTCCTAATGATAAAACAAACAAATAAATCAGATAACCAGATATAAAAATTGGTCAAGAAAACCAGATATAAAATTATTATACATTAAAACTTTTACTATTATTAATGTACAAATGTGTAATTAATGTCACCAAAAAACATAATACTTGAGTTTTCAATTTTATTTGAGAAGTGAAGATGATTTTTGTTAAAAAAATACTACACATAAAGTCAAATTTTCATTTTTGGTTTGCCCCCAGTAGTGAGTGCTCTACTTTTTAGTTTATACTTATTGTTAAGCTAGCTAATAAATACAAAACGATATAAAAATAACATGTTATATACTTATTTTACATAAAGTCTATTTTTCTTTTGTAAAACAATATATTCTTTATTATTTCTTATATACCTAAAAATAAAATCTATAGTTTATACACTTTTTTTCTTTACTTTTTTTATAGTTTCAAAAGAATCTTCATATCACTTTTCTCTTTAAACTTGTAACAGTTACATATTTATAGATTTCAACTTTAAAGGGGAAAGTAGGATTCTTTTAAAACTATAAAAATAAAAAAAAGAAAAAAAAAGGTTATAAACTATATATAAAAAAAGGGTTAGACCCTACCTCAAATAAAACAAAAAACTAGCTAGTATGATAAGTTTATTTATCAAACATCCTTATGCTTATGGTCAAACATGTTAATGAACTATCAATAAAAAAACATGTTAATGATAAATGTTTTCACTTTCAACTTTTGTGCTTTAATATGGACAAAAAAAAGTGTCTGTGAGCTGATTATTTTCCATATTTATTCAATTTGTAACAATTTCAATAATTAGAATGAAATACATAACATGATTAAGTATTGAACATACCATAAGTTTGGATAGAGCAAGAGGTGAATCAGATAGGAATTTAAGGGCCAATGTCATGGCTGTAGGAAGGGTCTCTTCCCCTGGAATCATCATCTCTATGATGTTTTGGCTAATCATTTCCAACTCCAAGTTTGAACTTGAGCTAGATTGGGATAACTCATCCTTGCCCCTTAATAGTACATCCACAACATCATTCACTTCATTACTATCCATTATTTGCTTCTTTCTTTCCTCCACTATCTTCCTCACCAACTTCATCATCCTTTCCTTTGCCTGTGCAATTAATTGCACGTTTTAATCATAAACTAACTAATTAGAAGCTTAATATTATGTGCCTAATATTTGATATATAATATAGACCAAGATAGTTTGTGGGACCTTCAAGGATTTGTATAGTGTTGTTCCTGGAAACTTGATGGGCAAGCAAATCAACCCTTTGATGAATGCTTCAAATTCTCTTTTCAACAAGTCCAAATCTTCACCAGGACCAACACTCATCAGAACTTTATTCAAAATTGGAAATGTAATCTGGTGTATATGCATGCACATCCACAAAATTCAAAAAGAGAAGATAATTAGGAGATTATTACATATAAAAAAGAATAAATTTTTCATATAAAAAGCTTTAATAGGAGTGTGAGATGGACCTTTTTTACTTCATCTTGAATGTATATTGTTTTGTTGGTCCAAGAAGCTAAGCATTGTTTGACAGAATGTTCAATGTCTGTGGTGATTCTTGCTTTAAATTGTGGAGATTTAAGAAACACTGCAATGAGTGAATGCAGTTTCTTATGCTTAATACCGTTCAGTTGGAGTATAGAGTGTTCTCCCATTAATTCTCTAATTGATTTTGGATAAGCAGGGATGAAAATGTTCTTTTGATTATGCAGAATCACCTTGTTCACTTCTGGGTCTGTTGAAATGATCAAATTGCTTCCCAAAATGTTTGTCTTAAACACATCCCCATAGCTGCATTTACATATACACATAAATTTTTTTATGTCAATATGTCGTTTATGTTGTTTCTTTTCTTTTTGATTGAAGCATTTCAATTCTTTTTACTGATTGAAAGAGAATCTTAAATCTTAATTAATCGACCTCTATAATTTTACGGATTAAAATGTTGATGTACTAATGTCTAGCTAGTTGTTTTTATGACAGTTATTACATCACATGAATACTATTATTATTTCCTTCTACACAGTCTAAGAAGCAATCTACTCTTGCTGGAAAAAAGATACTCTGGTGACATTGGCAAAATCTTAATTTTAGAAAAATAAAATCATGGGAAGAGGGGCTAAAAATATTCAAAATGAAGGTGTGAGTTGCGTGAGATTAAAAATATGAGTCTCTATAATGACCTTTTATCTGCATTGTTTTTATTTAGCCACACTCCATTGAAATTTGCAAGTTGTTGTAATGAAACATGAATGCTAGCTAACTCTTTATAAATTATAGTAGCTATTGGTAGAGTGTGAAAGGCGCTTAAAGATTTGCATTCCCAACAATAAAAAATTATTGAGGGGCAACCTTAACTTTTGGAAAAAAGTTCAATAGGTGTATGTAAAAAGTTCAAGTCCCACTAAAATAAAGCTGGTAAAGTTTATATAGAGAAACATGCTTCATTTTCTTAGCCGATTTTGTAAGAATAGTTTAAATCAAATATAAAAATTTAATATAATATTAGAGTTTATTTATTTGAATTTTACCTATCATTTATATTGACACATCAAATGCAATAGTACTAGAAACTTTGGATTGAAAGAACAGGAATTTCACATGACATAAAAGATAAAATATGAGATAAGTTTTTAAAGACTATCACTCTTCGTATTGAAAGCAAAAGCCCAAAAACATAATAGGTTGAGATATAGATATATTTTTTGTGAGCAATTCAATCTTGTTTGGGAAAAAATAATCATAAGCTGACTTAATAATTATCGTATTTCTTGACTGTAATGAACTTTCCACTAATATTTGAGTCCCACATGATCAAATTGGTCTTTGTCATAGACAAATATATCTAACTCTTAATTAAACGGGTTCTTGTTAAGTTGATATTTATGTTGTTGGAATTTATTTGAAGTTCTGTATTATTTAGATTTTTAGATTTTTAAATATATAAATATGTGAGAACAATCCCACTCTTTAAATCAGTAACTTTTAAGATTGAGATTCAAAATATATAACTATATCTTAATCTTAATACTATTTAGATTTAGATTATTATCTAAACAATAGAATAGTTTTATTTTCTCAATCTGTTACTACTATTGAATTACACTCCGCACTGTATCTAACAAGAAAGTTTTAGGAGTAAAGTTTTAGCGGTGTGTGCATGTGTTGATATTATTACTAAGATTCACATTTCACTATTGACAATTCTGCTCCTCAATGATGTAAGACTCTAACTAACAGTATTAAAAGGAAAAGTGTTGGATGGAATATTTGGTGAGCATGCATGTCCATCATTAGCCTCGTGAATAGAAATTAATGAATAAGAGAATATTAATTCAAAAAACAATACTGAAATACTACAGAAATAATAGTAATAGATACAGTAAATATGAAGAAGACTTACATAGACTTGCGATTTTCCATGAAGGTGACAGGGCGAGAAGAATAACATGAAGCAATGAAATCAAGAGTTTCTCCAATTAAAGGCCAACCTGAATTCCCTTTTGGAATTTTTTCATTATTCTTCTTCTTCTTCATCAAAAACCACCAACTCATAAACAATATTCCCACACATACACCTATAAACCATTCCATATTTTCCATAACACTTCTAACAATATACACCACTTCGAGGATATATAGATATGATTCTGAAAGGATACCTATATATAGATAGGTAGTTCAGACTTGATCTGTATAAGTATAGGCTTCAGCTACCTGTTTCTGTTGTACTTGATATTTGTTTGTTTGTTTAGAAGAGAGAAACAGAAAGAGATGAGGAGGAGAAGAATTAAGAGAGATCAGATCAGAAGGAAATGTGATATGAATATATTTAGCAAGAAATTGACTTCTTTTGAACATGAGATTCTCATTTATATATTTTACCATTTTGTTAATAAATAAATTGGACTTTTCTAAATTTAGATGATTAAAAGTATATAGTCTATCATAAATTTAGAAATTATTTTATCTTATTTTTATAAAATATTTGGACTCAATGAAATTTTAGAAGATAGTTGGAAAAGATGCTAGTTTTAAAAATAATTGAATTATAAAACTTATTTTTTACTTTACAAAATAACTTCACTTTTTTAGAAAAGAAAACATTTCTTTGACCTAATATACAAATTTACTTAATTGTATAGTTACAATAAATATTAAATATTCAAAATTTATATGGGTTGAAGTAAGTTTCAAGTCTGTTATGTATGATCAAGAATATCATAAGATTACTTCAAATTATTGCATATTTGTTAGAAAGTTTTCTAATGATGACTTCATTATCCTATTGTTATATGTTGATGATATGTTCATTGTAGGGTGTGATACCGTGGCAGAACCGACGGTTTAATACTAGTTTTTACGTTTGTATTCGCAAATGTTGCGGTAAGCAAGAGTCGGCACCGACTTTTCTTTTATCCAACAAAGGAAAGGATGAAAAGAACAGGAAAAATATATTTTTTAAGAATTTTGAGTAAGGGGTATAGATTATGGAAAGAGAAGGTGTTAGCACCCTTTCCATCCGTAGTTTTCTACGGGCTCTTAGTTGCTTGCTAGTTCACTTTGCTTTTGTTTGAAAATATGCTTGTGGTGTGAGTTTGAAAATATTTTGAAAACGTCTTTGTAATGATTCTCGTCTCTATAAGAATGCGTACAAAGTGTTAGTTTTGAAAATAGTTCAAAGAAGTGTTTGTGGAAGATGTTTTTGAAAGTGATTTTGAAAAATGCCTTTGTAATGATTCTCGTCTCTATAAGAATGCGTACAAAGGATTTTGACTTTTGAAAAATGTTTCAATTGAAAGTGTTGGTTTGTAAATGTTTTTTTTTATTGTGAGCAAGCGAGCAACTATGAGCATCCTACCTACTCAAAGGTCTAACATTCTTTTCCTCCTCCTTTAGATGTTGTTATCTTACCATTGATTGATAAGAAGTCTCATCGTTGGATGTATGAGGGATATTCTAAAGGACATACAATCATAAAGGCAACAATGTAGAGACGCTTTAGCAATTTCTATTTAGGGACTAGATTATTTATCGAAAGGCAATTGTAGGGTCATCGAAGAACTATGATCTTTTGATTTATGAGTCTTTGCTAAAGCGTCCCTGTCTCGAGAGACACGACTGTTTTATTTTCGAAGGCAATCAAAGTGGGGTATCCTAGAGGTGTATATGTGCAAGTGTATTACGTTTCAGTTATTTTTGTCTTTTTGTTAAGTTTGCTAACATTTGATTATTAGTCTTTTCATACAAGTCTAATTACCAACAGTTAATATATATACAAGAATTTAAAGTGAAGAAATGTAAAGTGCGGGAATGTAAATCCTATGCTATTACATGGCTTTGTGAGATGTATATTATAGAAATGCGAAAAGTAAAGTCCTAGTTACTATTACAAACCGGAAAGCAATTACAATAAGATGAAAAATGCGAAAGTAAATAAATACACAAACAAATTAACAGGGACGTCTAAATCCTAAGGAAAAGAAATCTTTTTATTTGTTTTGTTTTATTTTAAGAAAATACAACCTAAGTCTATTTAATTTTAATTTCAAGAAAGATTAAAAGGATCAATTAATTTGTTTACAAAATTAACTTAATTAGAAAAAAAATACTAGCCTAATATTTTTTGTGTGATTTTTTGATTTAAAGTTGAAATAAAAAGAAGTCAATGAAAACAAAAAAAAAATACAAATACAAGGGGGCATCCTTCGATCCAGGGAGAAAAAGGGGTTTTTCGATCTAGAGGGGGAAACTGCCTTTCAATTCTGTGAAGGGTGTTATTTTCTTCGATCCAGGAGGGAACTATTTTCTTTGATCCAGGAGGGCAATCTGCTTTTTGATTCATATCTGTAAGACAAACATTAGAATAATAAATATGCAGGACCTGGGTGTCGAACCCAGGTCCTTTGATAATGTGTGCGCTGGTCTGCTCAGGCTTGATCTACAGTACAAGCGTTAGAAATAAAACAAATGCAGACCTGGGTATCGAACCCAGGTTCTTAATCTTGAATACAAATAGAATGAGTTACAAGTGTTAATGTATCATGCAAATGTAAAGTTTGATCTTTTATCAGTTCTTACCAATGGTGATGTATGAATCTGTGGTTTCAGGCGTGGATACCCTTGTTTAAGGATTGCTTCGATTTGGCACTTCTGGATATGAGGATACTTGCTTAAGGGCCGGGGATGATTGGAAAAGCTTCAGAAAACCTCCAAGGATGTATTTTTAATTTCGTGTGACTCTCTCTCCGGTTGTGTCCAGCCTCTTTTGATCTGGCTAGTGTGTTCTTTATATAAAGGGGATGGAGGGGAAAAGAGAACAAAGGTTTAAACAACCATAAACAAGTGTTTTCAAAGCCATGAATGATGTTTTGTAACTTTGCCAAAGTCATGGAAACTTGTCTCTTTTTTGAATTTGAATGAATATGGACAATTTTGGCTTTCGAATACCTTTAGTCCACGCCCTTCGATTGGACCTCTTGTATAGCCTTCGAATGGGTCTTTTGAATGGACCATTTGTGTACCTTTCGAATGGGCCTTTGGTTTCCTCCTTCGAATGGACTTGTTGAGTGTCTTTCATATGTATGCTTTGCTCCCTCTTCGAATGGGCCACCAAGGCGTGTCCTTCGAATGGCTTAAATATCATCCTTGGGACCTCTTCGATTGAGCCCCAACAAAAACACTCTTTCCAGGCTAATCGAAGCTTCCTTCAGAATGCTTGTGCAGGAAACTTGAATATGGCAATATGTGGGATTTTGGGCCAACCAACATCTTTGCATATCTCTCTTTCGTTTTGGCTAGCAATATGTGTATCCTTCGTTTTGAATCAATGTGTGTGCTCTTTTGAAGAGACCACATGCATCACTTGTATGCATCACTTGCCATTCCTTCGAATGGACCAAATAAACTTTCCAAGGGAGATACTGCCCAGTCGAAGTAGGAATCAAGCTTGTATGCAGGTAGTCATCAAGACAAACCTGCAGAGGCCCTTTCTCAATCGAAGCAGACATGCAGGTAACCATTACATTGTGAATCAAACAAGCATGTAAAGCCAATGGTGCAGTCGAAGGACGTATGCATGAGGCCATTGCTTTGTGCCTGCTGACATAAAGGAAGTTCCTGCCTTGTAAATTGAAAGCAAGCGTAGAGAAGGCACTTGTCTACTGAATTGAAGGAAAGCTACAAGAGGCCATTGCCAACACCTTCTAAATTGAAAGAAACCAGTAAGAAGCCAACGCCCTCTGAATCGAAAGAAGCCAGTAGGAAGCTACTAACTTCTGAATCGAAGGAGCACCAACATGAGGCCCTTCCCTTTTGAATCGAAGGAGGCAGTTTCAAAGGAAACACATGCCCAGTTGAAGCTTGTATACAACAAACAAGCAAAAGGCCAAGGCTTCAATCGAAGCTTGGAAATTTGAAGCAAGCTTGGAGGAGGTTAGGTGTTCAATCGAAGCCTGTCAAGATGCCAATCGAAAGACACCTTGTTGATCTTCAAAAAAATTTATTTTTCTTTAATCAAGTGCTTGTGACCTCCTATATAAGAAAGAATCTTGGAAAACATGAGAGTGCAAATTTTGGGGTACAACAGCTGCCCCTATTCAATCTTCTTAAACCTGAAGATGTAGATTGACTTGTCTGCCTTTCGTGATCTGAAGGCGGAAGATGATTGAACACTAGAGTGCCTAGAAATTTGCACTCGTATGAAGTAATACTAATTGTTGATGATGGCGGGAATGGGCTTACAGATGCCATTTGAATAAGATGACAGAGAGTTGTTGGAGATGGGCTTAAAGATGTCATCCACAAGTGATTGTTGATAGAATTTAGACCAAGTCTAAGCTTGATTGTATCTTGAAGAATGCTTTTCAGAATGAAGTGCTGAAGAAGATGCTTTTTAGGATGAAGTGCTGAAAGGGAAATGCGTTTCAGAACTCCTCTGAAGGAAATGCTCGCCAGAACTCGGTCTCTAGGGAAAATGCTTTTCAAGATTCCGTATCTGAAGGGGAAATGCTTTTCAGAACGAAGCGCTGAAGGAGATGCTTTTCAAAATGAAGTGCTGAAGGGAAAATGCGTTTCAGAACTCCTCTAAAGGAAATGCTTGTCATGTAGATAGTCGCTCCGTCTTGTTTCTGGAATTGATAATCAATCTGTTCACATATAGTTGTCCTGTCTTGTTTCAGGTATTAATCTGGAACTTATTTGAGAAAGAAAGATAGTTTCCCCGTCCTATTTTGGGAGTTAATCTTCAATCAGCTCATGTAGATAATTGTCATGTCTTGTTTCAGGTATTAATCTATAATCGGTTGTTCATAGATAGTTGTCCTGTCTTGTTTTAGGTATTAATCTAGAACTTGGAAATGTTGGTCACATAGATAATTTCCCCGTCTGGTTTTGGGTATTAATCTAGAACTTGAAAATTGCTGGTCGTTGAGATAGTTCTCCTGGCTTGTTACATGTATTAATCTCTGACCTGAAAAAGAAAGATAGTTTTCCTGGCTTGTTACATGTGTTAATCTTAAATCTCTTCATGTGGATAGTTCTCCTGACTTGTTACAGGTGTTAATCTTAAATCTCCTTATGTAGATAGTTTTCCT